TAACACAGATTAACAGGAGAAAAGCACGCATGTTTTAATTTTTATATGTATATGGGAGTCATCAGAAGAAAAATAGTGGACCCCCCATTTACAAAAAAAGCTTTTTGGGCTGAATTCTCATATATTGAATTAGATAAAGAGAAATAAATCATGAGAACAGGAGAGTACCAAAGAACTATTCTGCAGGATACTGGAGAAAACTAAGATCAGGGTTAGTTTAGCAAGGTTTGTTAATAGTGACTTTTCTCAGCCGTCCCATTAATGAGGATAAGAATGTTACTTTTCTTCTGGTGTAGAAAGGCCATCTCCCATAGGGAGGAAAGGGCAAGGTCAAAAGACTATTTTTCTAGTGCTTTTTTGCTCAAACTGATCCTTGGAACAAAATGGCATATTGGCAGGCATTTTCTGCCATCCTTCATGTGGTGTCAGTTCCACATCATATGACATAGCTGATAGAAATCTATTTTGTAGATATACAAGATATCCATCCACAAAGAGTCTTTCATTTTTACTATTTCTTTCACATACAGAGTTTGGAATGAAAATATTAGAAGTAGGAATGTGTAAGATGTAAGAAAGCCTTAGAGTGGCCGCAGGCAGGGGAGGGGAAAGGGTTCTGAACATATATTATACAGGAGTAAATGATTTTATAAAGGGAAATAATGTTTTGTAAAGGAAAAAAAGCATTTTTCCCCAGAGGGCTGTATGTCAATGAAAGCAAGGTATAGGTTTACATGCTCACAGCATTATGCCACACACAGCTCATGCACTTGACAAGTTATACTGAGATGAATGTTGAATGATGTTGCCAATAATAGAAATGGAAAATAGGTAGAGAAGCTGATTTGCAATAGTAATAATGCTAGTAGATGGAATTTTAGGCTTAGTACAGTGGAATTGCTGCTAGGATGCTCAGGTATGCAAATAGCTCTTAGAAGTGTCAGGAATGCGCCCTCTCCACCATCCTCCTGGTAACATATAAGTAAAGGAAGGAGGGGGAGGGAGAAAAATAGGTTAATTGGTGCATAGGCCCCCTCCTTAGAGACATCAGAAGAAAGCATTGACGCATGCTAAAGTTCACAAGGGACAAGATGTAAAAAGAAGGTAGGACTCCTCAGTACAGATCCCTAGAGAACATCTAGGCCGCAGAGGAAAGGGGTATGATGGGTCCTTAAAGCTCATTGGGTTGCCCACAAGTAGAAAGCATTGCCCTGTAGAGAAATTTTATTTCCATAATTTGAGGTATTAGTTCCTTCCTTGATCCTGATGCTGCTGTTTCCTTTGAAGACAAAGCATTGAACTGAAATCTATCTTGTTTTTTTAATTATAATTGACTTTTTAGCATAATAGAGTATACAAGATATAGTTCTATTTGAATTCTGTATTCAATCTTTTGATTCCCATGTAACTTCAGGAGTGAAAGAATAATTTTCTTTTAATTAGACTTTTAAAGCATAATACACATTATTTTTTATATGCTGTGTTGTGGTTTGGGCATGAACTATCCCCTAAAAGTTTTGTGTATTGAATGTTGGTCCTCAGTGTGTACAGTTTGGGGAGGTTTGCTACTTTAGTATTTGACTCTATCACTAATTAGGTAACAATTGAATAAAACTTATAAGAACATTTGGAGAATATGTACATGGCGTTATGAAAACCATTTTAAGAGATGGGTCTAGGCTTAGGGGAGAACCTACTACTATAATCCTGCTAAGTGGACACAGTATTAAATTGACTCCTAATGACTTATTATTTTACCCATAGATTAGTGCATCTCTTAGCCCTCATCAGAAAAGCTTCTTTTGTCACCAGATGGTGATTACCACAGAGATCCACAACTGGTCAACACGCGGAGAATAAGAGATGGTGGAATTTTCAACCCTAAATGGTATACCTGCTTCCTAGGCTCAGGGATCACTGAGAAAGAGGGGCAGAAAGATCGTAAGAGCCAGAGGGGGTGGGTGACTACAACAAAAGGGTTTTCCAAACATAACAGGGCAGTTACACCTACGAACTCACGTGGTTGTGACAGCATGCCTAAGACCTGGGTAAGCTCAAGTGGGACAAAATCTAACCTGTGTGGAGGGAGGAGGTGGGCACAAAGCCCCATCCCTAGTTGCACAGCCGTTGGAAATTGATAGCTACTGGGATAAGGAGAGTCAGTTTTCTTTAAGGGTGTGACCCCTGGTAAGTTGATCACACTCCAGGGAATGGGCCCATACCCAAGAGTATTTGGGAGAACACAAATTAAACTCGATGCTTGATGGGGCTTTTTCTTTTTTAAAGGGTACAGTACATTTATAGACAAGCACACCATACACCACTCACTTATCAAAGAAACTTTTTGTTTTCAAAAGATAAGGGCTATTACAGGGTTCCACAAGTGATCACACACAGGATATATGTATGAGAGATACCCATATGTGACACATCTACAATGGAACCCCTACGCCTAAGGCTCATGGTACATAGTGAAACAGGAGGTAGAGAGAACAGTAATACATCCCTCAACTCTCATCAGCAAAGCTTCCTCATGCACAGAATGCAGTGTACACAGAAAGCCCCAACTGACCAAGTTTTAGAGAATAAGAGACTGCAGAGTGCATGTCCCTGGATAGGACTCCTACATTAAATCTCACCCACCCATGGCTCAGGGACCATTGTGGAAGAGGGGGCAGAAAGGTCATAAGAGCCAGGGCTGGTGCATGAATATAAGGAAATAAAGGCTTTCAGGCCTCTGGGAACTTGCTCATATGAACTTGAAGCAATGGTGATGGCATGCACAAGATCCATGCTGACTCAATCAGAAAAAAAACCCAGCAGAGAACTAGGGAAATAGGCAGCAGGCCCTAACCTTAGCCAAGGAACTGTTGGTAACTGATTACTGCCAGGTAGCAAAGAATTGATCTTTAAGGGACTGACTCTAGATAGACTGACTAGACTCCAGTGGATGAACTTGCACCAAGGGACATCTGGGTACAGATAGGCCTTAACATATATGAAAGAATGCATGAAATCCTCTGGGGGGTGGTGTCTAAATTTGGTTAAAATCTATTATATTTAATGCAAAAAAACTCAAAATATTTTTAAAAACTGAAAAAAAGAAAAGGACATAGGCCAGACATGGTGGCACAGGCTGTTAGTTCCAGTACTCAGAGGCAGAGACAGGAAGATCTCTGTGAGACTGAGGCCAGACTGGTCTTCATAGTGAGTTCCAGGCCAGTTGGGACTACAAGGCATCTGTCTCAAAAACAGACCAGCAAAAATTAAAAAAAAAGGGGGGGGGACACAAAGTTGAGGTGGGTGGTTAGGGAGGTTAGGGTGGATCTGAGAGGAGGTTGGGGGTGCATATAATCAGAACACAGTCTATGAAATCCTTGAAGAATTAATAAATTTCAAGAGATGGGTCTAGGGAAAAGTGTGTGGCTCAGTGGTAAAACAAGAGCTTAATATCTCTGATGCTCTGGACTCAGTCCCTACGTGGGGGAAAAGAACCCCAAAGGAGGAATGGCAGGAACACATTTTTGACTGGGAAAATCTGTGGCATCTTTGCTGAGAAAGTGGCTGCTGTATGTCTTTTATTTGAGTTTTCAAGCGTCTCACATGAGTATCTCATACAACAGTAAGGAATGATCAATGATTAAACTCTAAATAACTTATTTTTAGTGATTTTAACACAAAGAATTATAAAGAACATACTTCCTCCTTTCAGTATGTTAATTAGAATGTTGAAATTATTCCTAATGTTGAAAGTTTGTGTAGGTGTAGTGAGCAGGGAGCTCCTGTCTATTAGTTTAGTGTGCATTTATTATGCCCAGATTTTTCCTTTAAATTAATGGATTTCAAGCATTTATAAATCCTTTCCTCCCCAATAGATTTTCACTGTTCCCTAAACATAACTTGGAAAATATTGTCTTCCTTAAAAAAAGCTTGCAATTCTTTCATTCAGATCTTCTTGTGTTCAAAAGGAATTGGGCAAATTAACTGTTCTACTTATAAAGATCTTGTGATACATTTTTGTTCCCTATAGTAAGTTGACTACTAGGACAGAAATAAAATCTGAGCATACTGTGTCTTTTTATGTATGTCTTCCTAGGGAACTTCTGTAAATTTTATTATTTCTTGAAATGATCTATTCCTATTCTGGGAATTGTTGTGAAGTGAACAATTTGTAATATGTCAGTGCAAGACAATTATATAATGCAAGCAGCCATATTAGATCTTCTGTATCCCTCTACCTCATTTGCTGGATTGCTGAGGATAAGTAGTGATAGAAAGGTCTAGAATCTGCCTCCCAGTCCTAGTATTAGATGAACCATGTAACCCTGAGCCAGGCACTAACCCTCTGCTTTCATAGACAGAAGTGAAAATAGCACTAGCTTCAGACTCTGACTTTAATGTGTAAAACTTCATCTAGGATCAAATAAATGAAAATGTCTTTGTTATGTGGTATACCAAATGAAAACAAATACAGTAAGTAAAGAAGTTTTTAAATGGAAAAACAAAACAATGTAAAAGAAACAAAAACACAAATGAAAAATGCTATGTGAACACATGCTGTTTTGAGGTTTAACTTCATAGGTCTGCATCTGGTAGATCTGCTATCACTGTTATCAGAAAATCTGTATCGTAGAAAACAATGAATTTCTAGCATTTAGTTTCTAATTCAGTGACTTTTCTTTGTTTAGACAAATAACTCCTCTGTAATCTGACATAGAGTGCTGCAACCTTATATATAGAGATTTCTAGGTGTTTATCAGTGTCATGTATAAGAACAAAAACCAATAGAACTACTTAAATTTAGAGACAGTATTTCAAGGGGACATGGAGCATATATCCAAGATTAAATAAAATTCTCCTTGGTTAGGTCAGTTCCAATTTGACAGACTTTGCAATAGCTCACAAATGCTGAAGAGTTTTGTATGCAGGATACATGAATCTTCATTGTTACAGAAGAAAATAACATTAGTGAAATACTGAATTCTGTTCTTTCTCTACAGTGCCTCCAAAGCCTTTACATCTGCAGATCTCACCTTCGTTCAATATACACCAAACCCCCAGGCATAAAGCTTTATCTAGCGCAAAACCAAGGATGGGGGATGCTAATCCTGCCCCTGCTTCTTGTGCCTCAAAAGAAAAACCCAGTAAGGTGTCAGATCTCATCAGTCGCTTTGAAGGATGCAGGTAAGAGTTAACTTACAATGGGAGAAGACTGGGAGGAAGAAAGTTATCCTTGAAAAGCGTGGGATCTTAGTTCATTGTTTCCCAGCCTTAGCAAGAGCATTTTAAAAATAAATTACTTGGGACTCAAGAGATGGCTCGGCGGTTGAGAGCACTGACTGCTCTTGCAGAGGACCAGCTCCCACGTGGCAGCTAAAAACTGTCTTTAACTCCAGTTCTAGGGGAATCCGAAGCCCTCTTCTGACCTCCAAGGCATTGCATGACACGGGTGCACTCACATACATGCAGGCAATACACATACACATTAAAAAAATAATAAATAAAATGTTTAAAAATTACTTGATGTTGCCCTAGTATGGATTATAATTTACTATGTGTAAATTGTTGCTGGTTCTCATTTTCTGTATGTGTCAGTGGATATCTGACTTGTTAAGGCCAAGAGTCTGTCCACTCCTTGCCTTGCCTCTGACTCCTTGCCTTCCTGGGCCCAGTCTTCCTGATTCATTTTATTTAATTCAAGTCTTCTGTACCCATCCAGTCTGTGTCCCTTCTCTCTATAAAGAGATGTTATCTCTAAAAACAAAATTCATGCTAAATTGTTTTTTTTGAGGGGGTAGGTCTTTTTGAGACAGGGTCTTCCTATTACCCCAACTGGCTTAGAACTTGATATGTAGACCAGGCTGGGTCTCACAGAAATCCACCTATCTCTGCCTCCCAGATGCTGGAATGCATATTCCCTCATTTCATGCTTTATAGATAGAATTTTATATTCTGTAATTCTAATGCATGGGGGCAATAATGGCAGGTAAAATGTGTGTTTTCATGTAAAGATAGAAACAAAACAAAAAGAGAAATTAAAAGCAAACCCATATAAATTGCTTTTCTATTTATAAGACCTTAGGTCTCAGAATTTTTTTCTTAGAATTCACATCACTTGCTTAAATAGAATTTTATTTCTATAAAGTATATCAGGAAGATTTTGTTTGTCACTATAACAAAATATGTATAAATAGAATGTATGCCAGGCGTGGTAGCGCATGCCTTTAGTTCCAGCACTCGGGAGGCAGAGGCAGGTGGATCTTTGTGAGTTCAAGGCCGGCCTGGTCTACATAGTGAGTTCCAGGACAGCTGGGGCTACAGGGAGACTCTGTCTCAAAAAAGAAAAAAAAAAAAAAATAGAGTGTATGTAATTTCATTTTCATCCTTGAAGACAAATATTTTCCTTCATTCAGATGTAATATTTAGGAATTCTTTCCCATTACGTGAATTTTTAAATTTCCTTATTATGCACATAGTGAAATTATAGCTTGGAAATACTTTTAGAATGTTCTGGAAAATGTAACCAAGCCTAAGACTGCAGTGTCCCTCATTGAAAATATGCTTGTAAGTTGGCCAAAGGGGCCTGTTGTCACAATACTCAGGAAACAGAGGCAGGAGGGTGGGGGATTTGAGGACAGCCCAGGAGTTCAGTTCCCAGAACCCATGGTAGAAGGAGAGAAACAGCTTCCCAAAGTTGTCCTCTGACCTCCACATGTGCTCCATTTCACATGTATGCTAACACTCACACATCCATTAAGACATACAAATCGTAATAACATCTTTTTAAAAAAGACCTCAGCTAAGTGTCATAGTTTTGCTCTGGGCAAAAGTCCAAGTAACACCATTCCATGAAATAGAATGATTGGAGCCAGCAGATCTCATTTTTTAAGAAATGTTTCTTTCTTTCTTCCTTTATTTATTTATTTAATTTGTATGAGTGTTTTGCCTGCCTGTATATAAGTGAGACTCTGCATACAGTGCCTGAAGAGGCTGTCTAATCCCCTGGAACTGGAGTTAAGGATGGTTGTTAGCTACCACGTAAGTGCTGGGGACCAAACCTGGGTCCTCTCTGCAAAAGCACTCAGTGCTCTTAACTGCTGAGCTATCTCTCCAGCCCCGTATTTCGTTGTTTTTATTGTTATTTCCTTTTTCTTGAAGTCTTCTTTCTCTCAAAATAAGAGCAATTACTTTTTTTTAAGCTTAGGAAGATTTAGAGACTTAAAAAGTAACATTTTTCTGCAGACACAAACATTGAGTTTTCCCAAGAATATTGCAAGACTGACTGCCCTACCCCTACACTGTTCTGGCATGTGCAGGCAATAGCACGCCTCTGAATACTAACTAGTACTAATTGCTCCTTTTACCTCTCCCATTTTTATTCCACCTGCTGCAAGTGTACTTTGATGGCAATTACTACAAGATCTTCCAAAGCAGTCCTTCAGGAGTGTTCAAAGCATGCCTAGGTTCAGTTCAGGGGTATTCAGAAGATCATTCTACAAAGTTATTAGACACTGATGTAGTCAGAAGAGGATGGCTTGACTTATCAACAAGGATTTCTTGACAGATTTTCTGGGGTCAAGATATACTGTATATAGAAGGCAAATATCTGCAGTGGAATGTGTCATATTTATTTATATTGACAATCTCCAACTTTTGAATAAACATAAGCATTTTACCCTTCTGAAATATTTCCCTTCGCTTATTTGACTTAAATCACATCCTTGTTTCTTCCTTTCTCACTTTGTTGCTAACTGTCCTCTCTCATGCATGCATTCTCTCTCTCTCTCTCTCTCTCTCTCTCTCTCTCTCTCTCTCTCTCTCTCTCTCTTCAGTTCAAAGTAGCACTGACAGGGTAGGGGTGGGTTGGAATGAAGAGAGAAGGTGACATATCTCAGTGTGTCCATATTACCTTGCCCTGCCCTACTTCCCTTTCCCTGTCACCCAGAGGGGTTACCTGTACTGAGGAAGGTAACCAGTACTGGATTTTGCCCCTACTTTTTGTGTTGCTTATTCACGTGCTCCTCATCCTATCTAAAATGTTTTAGCATAACATGGAGTGAAAACCATAATGAGATTTAAAGCTGGACTTCATGGCTTTAATTCTCTGGTTTAGTCACTTGATAGAATTTTTCAGGCATAGATCTCTTTGTTTATAGACCCCTGAGTTGGCAGTTATTTGAGGATAAAACACAGTAACCACTATAAAAGACTTAACATAGCTTAAGGCACTTACCGAACACTTCATAAATGCTGTCTGCTGTTGTGTAATTGTCACGGGATCATTTCATTTGTCGCACATTTATTGAGCACTTTGCACACACCTCACTGAGCTGGAGGAGTGATGCTGAGAGAACAAGACAGTTCAGTCTTGGCCCTCACAGAATCGTAATCTAGTTTAGTTTCTTCTCATTTAGGTCATGGAAATTTCTCAGACTATAGCTTTTAGTTTTATGTCCCCTCCTTCAACCTGGAATTCTGGGTTAAAATACTACACAAATAATTCCAAAGGAACATTGTATCAGGAGTGAAGTTCCATTGTCTTTTTATAAAGATTACATGGAATAGCAGGCATCAATAAGGACTTTAAAGAAGACTGGAGAAAATGGTGGAGTATTCAGTTCAGACAATCCAACTTAGAAAAGCCTCTGGAACAGTGCTGTGTTAGGGCCTGAGTGGCAGAGAGTTAGTCACATCAGTGTCCTGGGGAAGATTTTCCTGGGAACAGAAGAGCAGTGGCCCTGACCTTCACATGCACACATTTTGGAGTGTGGCAAGATCACAGTGAGGAGAAGGAAACCAGAAGATGGAACTCTGGGAGCTGGAGTAGGCAGTCATGTAGGTGTCATCGGGACATCAGTGTACCCTTCCGTGTGTGAGGATCTGACTTAGAGACCAGATTGGAGAGATCAAGAGCAAGATTAAAGAGAGCCATTAGGGACTCATTGGCAGGTACTGCAGCATGTATAGTAAAGCTTTTGAAAATATGTCAGCATTCCAAATGAAAATAAGTTTTGCTTATAACCTATTTATAAACTGAGGACTTCTGTGCTTTTTTTATCAAATGGCAAAGAAGTAAAAAACCTGGGAAAAGATGATCTTACTATTTCATCTATCTTGTTATGAAGTCATTTAAACATCCCATGCTTCTAGCCCTGTAGGAAAAGCTGAGACTTTTCCTCTTTTTTTAGCTGCCTATTTAGATGTGGGTTGTATCCCAGGAGTCCATGTCTCTAAAACTGTCATGACTAGAAAAGAAATCTCTGTTCAAGTAGATTTGTCTTTAAAACTTCTAAACTTCTAAATTTTTCATGCTAACGTTTTCATGTTTTCTTACTATTTTTAATCTTACAGTGTTTCATCAAATTACATCGATTTGAAAAAAGATTCTACAGTGAACCTAGGTATTCCTCAAATCCCGGGACAGCATGGACTGACACCCACATCTCCACAAAAATTCATGTCCCAGCACCCACCACAGAAGCAGGAAAGTTACCCAGATGAGGCTCAGGGTGAAAAGACTTGTTTGGCCAATGGCATAACAGCACCACAAAACCAGATGGAATGTAAAGAGAGTAAGATGGCTGCTCTTAGCCCAGATAACCGTAGTCAAACTGCTGAAACATCTCTTGATGCACACTTAGTAAATGGAGAAAGAGATGAAGCTACCACAGATCCTGCACCAACCACAAGCAATGACCATGATGAAAATATTTCTGATAGCAGTTGTAGGACTCCAGGTGCCGACTCAGTGCTTTTCCTGAAAGATGAAGATGCCAACGTCCAAAAGAGGGAAAGTGGAGAAAGCCCTGTGGAATTGGATCAGCCGGACCAGCACCATGAGGTAAAGGTAAAGCATGAAGCTGTGCACAGGGAAACACTGCTTAGACACTCGCTGTGTCAAACTCTAACAGCCGCTGTGAAATGAACAGCTCACGTTACCCACACCAGCAGTTAAAACATTTGCCAGCTGTAGGAGCCACTGGCTAGTTCCCCCTCTGAGGGGTGTTTCACTTTTTTCTTGTGCAGCTTCTTTGGATCTTTCTGTTGTGGTTTCTCAGTGTGATTGCATTGATATAAGAAAGCCACACCACGTTGTCTTTACGTGAGAAACATATTTCTGTGGTTCTAGACACTGGTGCAGAATCCCTAGCATTTAACAGGCAGAGAGGACAGAAAGCTTGGAAGATGAACTTGACACTAGCAGATGATCCTTTTCTTGGACAATATGGAAATATTAACAACTTATTCAGCAGATTGTAATTATTTCTAGGCTTCTCATTTTTAGATTTTTCTAACTAAAACCCGTTTTGGGGGAAGTTGGTTGGTTGTTTTTGAGACAGGGTCTCTCAGCTGTAGCTCAGCTAGCTTGGAACTCACTATGTAGACAATATTGACCTTGATCTCACAGAGATCCACCTGCCCCTGTCTCTTGACTGCTGGGATTAAAGATGTGTGCCTCTATGCTAGGTGATAGTAAATGCCTTGATTTTTTTAAGTCAGGTGGCCAAATAAGAGTTTAGCAGTTCACTCAGAGAAAAAGAAAATGTCCCAGAAATGTCAGGTGAATTTTGAGGGTCTTACTGCGATGTGCAGCTCAGAATCACTCAGCTGCTCTGTGCTGTCACTCCCAGGCCAGTGTCATGACCTGGTACAAGAAATCACAAGCAGGGAAAGTTTAAATAGGACAATGGGTGGGAGAAAGGGACTCAGGCTTTAATGACACTCTGAAACAGCAAAGAAACAGGACTGTGAAGTAAATCTTCTTATACCTCAATAGTGTGGTGAATTTTAGTGTCTTTGTTCTTGAACTATGGTGAAAGGAAGAGACAGTTATAACCAGAATATCTTTCACAGTGGGGTGAAGCGCCTGCAGGCATCTGTGGAACAGCAAGAGTTACCTTGATTCATGGAAGGATTTTACTTAGTGGTGATTCCTGTGGTTGCTGGTACTTTTTCTGTATTGTCTTTTTTGTTGTTGTATATGCATGTTCCTAGATGAATTTTACTTGGTTTGGGAGAGATATAATAAGATTTTCTTATTAAGTTCATGAAACATAGAATGAATAATACAGGCGGCTTTCCTCGTGGCTGAGCTTTTTAAGCAGTGGATGGCACATACTTGTGTGATTGAGACAGGAAGTTCTCTGCAGAGCTAGTGATCCAAATAGCACATTTAATATTGGCACAATGATTGTGTGTTCTCCTCTCCTCTCATCCCCAAATGCAATATGTTAATAGTGTTGGAAAGCTTTATTTTGTTATGCGTATTTTACCACAATTAAGAATTTTTTTTTTTTTTAATTTAGTAGCATATTGTGGACGAGACAGTTGGGACCAGGGATGCTGATGTTTCTTTGAGCATTGTGACCTTGAACAAGTCAATAGAATTCATGTGTCTAGTTGCAGGGCACAAACTGCATAGGATCACAAGGGCTTTTTCAGTGATAATGTAGTGATTCATTATTCAGTTATATGTGATAAACTCCTTGTTAAGATAACCCTTCAGATTGAGTACTTTCTAATGTGTTGAACTTTTAAGGTGTAATTGAATATTTTTAGTTTCATCATGCAATTGAAAAAATTATTTCTATTTTTATATAACTGCATAAAGAGATTTACATCAGAAGACCCTCAAGTCAGTTCCATTTAAACCAATAATCAACTTAATGGCCATTTCCTTGAGAGCTTGTTCAGATGGTCTAGCATAACTACCCACTTGCCCTTGAGTAAGAACAGCCCTTCTCTGTCAGGAAAAGACTTCCTTCTCAACTATACAAAGCTTCAGAAGGATGTCCATGGAGCAGTGAAGGAGGAAAGAACCTAGCCAGCTGGATTGGCCAAATTAACCCTGGTTCTCAGAAGTGACAGATGTCATAGTCAGATCATCCTCTTATCCCAGATGCCTACCAGCAATGTGAACATGAGATAATAATTTTGAGCAAAAGGAAATACTTAATACATTTAAGAAAAATATACCATTGTAAAGTTTATCCTGGGCTTATGGAGTTGTGAAAATAGATTTACATTTACATTGCATTACATCACATCTAGCTAGAAAGCTAGATGACTAAAGCTATCTATTCATGTGTGTGTGTGTGTGTGTGTGTGTGTGTGTGTGTGTGTGTGTGTACATATACACATTTTTAAGAAAGGACAGCCATTTTTAAACGTTTTATTTATTTTTATTTTTAGCGTGTGTTTTGCCTGCAGGTATACAGTGCTCAGGGAGACCAGAAGAAGGTGTCAGATCCCCTGGAATGGTTAGGGGCAGTTGTTAGCCACCATATGGTTACTGGGAACTGAACCCTGGCGAGCAACCAGTGTTCTTAACTGCTGAGCCATCTTTCCAACCCTGTGAACAGGCAAACATTTTTAATGAAATTAATTTCTGAAACATACGGAACAGTTGATTTGTCTCACTGCAGAGTGTGCTTACTTTTGTTTAAGTGTTTTATGAAAACTAAACTCCATCACTGCAGAAAGGAACTGTACTGTTGCTTTATAATCTCTTTGATGCATAGCTTATTTGTATACATAGTTCCTAAGTAAACGGTCTTTTCCTTCCCCTAACTTAAGTTTTAATATTTTCCTTCCAACATCTCCCCTTTAGCAGACTTCAGTTTGTTTTTTTTAATCTGCTACAGTACATGACTATACTAATTAAAGATGTGAGATTTGGTAGATAACATCTAAAGATCTGAAAAGTACTATGTTGGTTGGTTTTTGGTTTTCTCATTGCTCTGACAAAAACAACTTAAGGAAAGAAAGCTTTATTTGGCTCACAGTTTGAGGATACAGTCCTTCAGGGCTAAGAATACATTAAGAGTGTGAGCAGGATATTTCAGCCAGGAAGTAGAGAGATGAATGCCAACACTCCTTTTTATTCAATCTAGAATCTCGGCCATTGTAATGGTGTCATTCTTTTCCAGGATGGTACTTCCCACTTCAGTCAGACCTTTCTGGAAATACCCTCATAGACACAGCCAGAGAAGTGTTACCTTGGTGATTCTAAATCCAGTCATGTTGACAATCAAGATTAAGCACCATAACTCCAGAACTTGTCAATTTGATGCCCAAACATATCACTTTAAATTTTACCTTTTTCCCCTAAAGTCTCATCTTTATCTCATAATGAAAAATATATTTAGTGTATCTCTAAAAGTCCTCATAGTCATCAATGGTCAAAAGTATAAATATTTTATGTTCTAGATTTATATTCAGTTTTATATTATAAGCCAAGTATGAATGAATAGTGTGGTAGTTTTTAAGACTAAGGTTTTATATAAATGTCAATATTTTCTACATAGGCTCAAATTAATAACAGCTGTCAAGAATATAACAGAGGCAGATAGAGAAATATCCTTTCATTTGACCAAAAATGACAGAAATTATATAATTCACAAAATAGAAACTTACAGAAATATATTTTTAAAACCTTCTGTTAGTTTCTTGATTATTTCTGATTAAATATCTATTTTGCTTATTTTAACTAAGTAAGCCTTTGGAGTATGTAACTATTAAACATTCTAAAATAAGCATTACAGAGGCTATAGCTCAGTGGTTGAGGATTTGCCTACTATATATGAAGCGTTGGATTCAATTCGTAGCACACCACCAGTAAAAGAAAAAAAAATAGCTATAATCCAGGTGACTTTTTTTCCCTTCCATTTCTGCTCATTAAGATTAGTTGTAATTCTTAAGATCATTGGTTAATTTGGAAATAGAGATGAAGTGGCTAGTCAATGGAGGGGCTCCTTAAAAGCAGCTAAAGTGGGCCTTGATGAAAGAGTAGATTGCTAGGCAGCTGAAGATGAACTGGGAAGCAGTAGGAAGTGTTAGCCATGAGCAGAGGTCAGAGGTAGATGAAGATGAACTGGGATGCAGTAGGAAGTTTTAGCCATGAGCAGAGGTCAGAGGTAGATGAAGATGAACTGGGATGCAGTAGGAAGTTTTAGCCATGAGCAGAGGTCAGAGGTAGATGAAGATGAACTGGGATGCAGTAGGAAGTTTTAGCCATGAGCAGAGGTCAGAGGTAGATGAAGATGAACTGGGATGCAGTAGGAATATTAGCTGTGGGCAGAGTGCAGAGGTACATGGAATATTTGAGGGAGTATTTCTGACCCCGTAATGATGATTCAGGACTAAAAACTCAGGTTTTTAACTCCAACTCCTCATAATGAGGCCATAAAGGATAAAGAAAGGAGTGTCAGGGTGGTGGAGTAGACTTACTAGCTTCTGAGATGGGATCACTGTGCTCCTGGATTTCAGTGATCCTCATCCTCCCCAAGGAGCTGCCACTGCAGCCATGCTCAACCCAGGGCTCAGCTTAAGATGAAAGCTGAAGATATATTGCAATGGGTTTATATGTCAGTTAAGACACTTATTTCTTTGCTGAAAACAATGGAGGTTTAATTGGGGGCGGGGCTTTTTGAGACAGGGTCTCCCTGTAGCCCTAGCTGTCCTGGAACTTACTATGTAGACCAGGCTGGCCTTGAACACACAGTGATCCGCCTGCCTCTGCCTCCCAAGTGCTGGGACTACAGGCATGTGCCACCATGAGGTTTAATTTTTTTAACTGACTAAAACAGTTAATACTTGTTGAAAAACAGGAAACACAGCAAAACATAGAGAATATGAAACTTCCCATAATTCCACTTCCAAAAGAGAACTGCTTAGAGCTTTAACATTTAAGAATGTATTTGAAGGAAACATACTTCAAATGGCATGATCTTTGCTTGCTCTGTCTCCTCTTCTATTAGATTAAGCTGTGGTGATTCCATAGTCCAGTATGATTTCAGAAAGAGACATTTCTTAAACCACTGAAGTGACAATGATAAAACATCTGTG